CAGACTCATGATATTTTTTTTTATTTTAGAAATGATAATACTATATCTGCAGCATAACTTATCATTGCACTTTATCATGTGTCATCCTCACCACACCTTAATAACCACCTCAGCTCATCTCAATCGTTCATCCTGATCTCAAATATCATGTATCTATATTTATCCTTACTGTTATTGTACCATTTTATGCTTTCAATGAGAAGCCTTACGGTAAATGAAGTAATGCATTTCTAACTTTCTCCTATGTGCTCTTTGTCCAGCTTACCTTCTTCTACAGGGTATCAGTCCTCTTTCATGGTATCAGAGCCATCAACATCACTGCAATGGAAAATTTGATCACCTCCCAACTCCAAGAAGCTACAACGTCCCTCTCTCACAGGTGCTTTGATAATTTCCCAATCCCTAAAATTGCTTATGACAAATATCAAAATCCTGGTTACTACCTCCCTATCCATCGACAACTACCCCAACTGGCATTCGCAGATCCTCAAATAGTCGAATGGCTTTATTGGATTTCTTGATGTATCGGTCCAACAACCATAGCCTACAATTGTTGATGCTCGCGGACAACCCCGCCCAAATCCCAACTTCTCTCTCTGGAATCTGATTAATCAAAACGTCGTTGTAGCCATTTCTTCAATGATTGCACTCACTGCTCTCTCGTATGTGCTCAGTCTTGATAGCTGCTCTCAAATTTGGTACACTCTTGAAAAAAGGATGCAAGCTATCAACAGATCTAAAGTAATCTAGCTGACGAATGAACTTCATAATGTATCTATGAAAAACCTAACCATGGTGCAATATCTAACTCACATCAAAACGTGAGTCGAAAATATATTTGTTGCTTGTGCGACAATCAACACAGATGATATTATACTATACACTCTCAAATATCTTCCCTCATCCTATCAATCCTTCAAAACAACCCTTCGGACTCAGTTACAACCGATTGCACTTGAGGACCTCTATTCAATTCTATTCAAAGAAGAAATCAATCTCACCATCGACAACTCCGCTGGCTTCACACCTAGCTCTTTATATGCATAAATGAAAGAGTCAACAACATTACACCAGAGGACCTAACAAAAATTATAATTCACCCTCCAAACTTGTCGACAACCAGCACAAATCCTCTCTTCCCAAGCAAGCACAAGGTACTAGTGTGCATTATCAAATTTGTAACAAACCTAGACATATAGCATCAAATTGTTGGCACTGACTTAATGTCAACTAACAACCCAACTAGACTCCACTGCCTACAGTTCTCCTTACCTCTTCTACTACTCTGGATTGGTATCTCGACACCAATGCTACAACCCACTTGACAAAATCACTTGATCAAATGCAAGCAGCTGAACCTTATAATGGCCAAGAACCAATTCAGGTTGGTAATGGTGCAACACCGCCCATTCAACATTCCAGGCACAACCGCTTACCAACACCATCTCGTAAGCTTATTCTTTCCAAATTATTTTATTCCCCTCACCTATCTCATAATCTTATTTCCAACTCTCTACTTGCCATTGATAACAATTGCCTTATTATCTTTGATGCTACGGGCTATCAAATTAAGGACCATATTTTATAGCAAACATTCCTTCAAGGACCTTGTCGCAATGGGTTGTACCCAATTCCACCCACTCATCAAGCTCTAGCTTCTGACACAATCAATAAACATCTCTGGCATCAACGCTTGGTCCATTCCAACACTCATACACTTGCAACTATAGCAAATCAACAGCCGCAGCTCTTAATTTCTGGTTCTTATTCTTTTTGCAAACCATGTACCATAACTAAATGTCATCGCTTACCTCCTACTTCTAGTTAAACTCAATGTAATCCACTAGAATTTATACATTCAGAAGTCTTGGTACCATCCCTCATATCCTCAGTCCAAGGTTTTAATTACTATGTACTCTTTGTTGATGACTTTGATCGCTTTTACTTGGCTCTATCCTATGCAAAATAAATATAAAGTTCACTCTAACTTCATCAAATTTAAACAACTCATTGAACTTCAATTTGATAAGAAGTTAAATCTCTAAGAACTGATGGAGGTGGGGAGTATAAAAACTTAAAATTCAGCTAATACCTACTCCATAATGGTATCATCCACAAATTCACATGCCCCTATACGAACAGAACGGGGTAGTAGATCGAAAGCATCATCACATAGTTGAGATAACTCGTGCCATTCTAGCTACATCCAAACTCCCACCCGTCCTCTGGCTTGAAACTGTTCATACAGCCATTTACCTCATCAAACGGTTGCCATAACCACACGTCCAACCTGTCCCCATATAAACTCCTTCACGGTCAACAACCGGATTATCGTCACCTCAAAATTTTTGGATGTGGATGTTTTTTGTGGCTGCCCACTTCCTAACATCATAAGCTTCAACATCGATCCATGTCATGCATTTTCATTGGATATCCTGACCATACAAAAGCCTACAAGTGCTTCAATCCTCTCACCGACAAAATCATCATTTCACGGCATGTCATCTTTAACGAACACTCTTTTCCTATATCACCTTACCAACACTACAACAACCTTCTCAGCCTCCCTCTCCACACCCCTTCACATTCCTTGCCACTACTAACAATAACCAACTACAACACCTTTCTACCTCTCCCATCCCTCTGCCCAGCTCCTCTTATCCACCAAAATTAGCTACTCCACTATCTCATTCCCAGCAGCCACCTACCCTTTCTACAACTACACTCTCTGTCGAATACCTATCTCCACCTATAATTGCACCAAAAATCATACAGCCGCTTCCTCCATCTCACCATATGATAAAAAGGTCTAAAACTGGTCCCCTCACTTCCAAACAAGTGCCTAACCCGCACCACAATATCCACGATCCCATGGAACCCACAACCTATAAACAGGCCGCAAGTTCTCCCTTGTGGCGACAAGCTATAGATGAGGAGATTTATGCTCTTCACTTGCAGAAAACCTAACAGTTTGTTCCACCTCCGACTGATAAACCAATCCTTGGTTGTAAATGGACATTTGGCCTCAAGAAAAAAGTTGATGGCACTATCAAACATTACAAAGCACTCCTTGTCGCTCAAGGATTTCAGCAAGAATATGGCTTAAACTAGACTGAAACTTTTAGCCCAGCCGTGAAGTTTTCCACCATTCGCACCTTTCTAACTGTGGCCCTTCACTTTGAGTGGCAAGTACTTCAACTGGATGTCTTGAATGCCTTCCTTCACGACATGCTCTCCGACACTATCTTCATACGCCAACCTCCGGGATACATTGAATCAACTCATCCTCATCATGTATGTCACCTTCTCAAATCATTCTATGGCCTCAAGCAAGCGCCACGAAAATGATTTCAAACATTTTCTACACACCTGTTACAATCCGATTTTAAATTGAGCCATGCTAATCCTTCACTACTTACAATTCCCATTCAGCACAGATATACCTACTTCTTTATGTAGATGACATTCTACTAACAGAGAACAATCCAAGTGCCATTACTCAGCTCATCCAAAAACTTCGCCAAAAGTTCTTAATGAAGTTGCTCGATCCAGTATCCACCTTTCTCGGCATCAAAATTCAGCATACCACCAACGGGGTTCATCTCTCCCAAACCACCTATGCTAAAAATATTCTACAAAGGGCAGGCATGCTTGACTGTAAACCCCAAACAACTCCATCTTCGGCTCCCTCCAAGGTACTGATAACTCCCAATGACCTTTCACTTATCTCGCTTACCTAAGTCACTTGGTGGGCTCGCTCAGCACCTCACCATCACAAGGCCAGATATTCAATTTGTGGTCAACAGCCTCTCTCAACATCTGCATAATCCCTTGTCTACACACTTTCAACAGCTCAAACAACTACTTCAATATATTAACGACACTCTTACTTATGGTTTGCCACTACATGTTAAACCGCTAACACTACATGCCTATTCAAACTCTAGTTGGGCTAGTGATTATCACGATCGTCGCTCCATTACTGGTCATTGCTCCTTCTTAGACCCCAATCATATCTCTTGGTACGTTAAGAAACAACCGACAGTGGCTCGCTCCTCAGTTGAAGCTAAATAGAGAGCCCTATTCCGGAGCTATTGATGTTTACGACGATTGTTACATGATTTTCACCTCTCTACAGACCCTTCAATACCCATTTATTGTGACAACACTTCTGTTATGGCTATTGCACTTAACCTAATTTTGCACGCCAAAACCAAACATATTGAGATTGACTAACAATTCATTCAGGAACATATCACCTTCGAGAAGCTCTCTCTCCAGTATCTTCCCATTGAACACCAACCTGCTTATATTTTCACCAAGGCGTTACCTACACCTCGTTAATACGAGCTTTGGGACAAGCCAACTCTCTGTCATCCAACTGATAGCTTGCGGGGTGGGGGGGTGGGGGCGGGGGGTGATTATACTACACCCCCCACCTGTCGGAGAGCAAGCTACTGGCTGGGGGGGTGGGGGGGTGGGGGCGGGTGATGATTATACTATACCTGTAGCATAACTTATCATTGCGCTTTATCAGGTGTCATCCTCACCACACCTTAAAAACCACCTCAGCTCATCTCAGCCATTTATCTTGATCTCAAATATCTTTATCTATCTATATTTAAATTTACTGTTAGTGTACTATTTTATGCTTTCAATGAGCATCTTTACGATAAATGAAGTAATGCATTTCTAGCTTTTTCCTCTATGTTATTCGTCCATCTTACCTTCTTCTACAGGGTATCGGTCCTCTTTCAAGAAAACCCACAGCACGGTCCTCATAAACATTTTTCTCAATTAGGAGTGACACTAACGTACAAAACAACTAGCAATTTAAACTAAACCTAGAAAATAGAGGAACACAAATCCAAACAAAAAAAGAGCAGAAAGAAACTTCAAATTTTCCTATGACTTACGGAGCAAGAACAGTAAATGAAGCAAGAAAGCTTCAGTACAACATACAATACAAACAAAACTCAATCTAAAAAGAATAAAGAAAATCAATGTTCCTATTTAATACAAATACAATACCACATATAGAGTTAATAATAAGACAAGACTAATTCAGAGAAGAAGAAAAAATGACAGATTAATATAATTCCAACCATAGATATTATTTACAAAAGCAGCTACTGCACCTGACAACCGTAATAGACACCAGAGCTTCCAAAAAAAAAGATATGAAGGAGCAAACACTGAAAAAGCTTGGATGTATGAATTAAAGGAAAAAAGCCAAGAGGCATTTGTACAAGGCTCGATTTCATGAACTTGATGTCAGGACTACTAACATGACAACAGAGCAATTACCTTGCTTGCTGGAGCTTTCTCCCGTTTCTCGACATAAGCTGATGGGAACCAACCCGCTTTCCCCTTGCATTCACCCTCAGACCATCCACTTTGAGCTACCTTTAAATTTATAGCACACCAGAAGAAAAAAATTGATGAGATGGAACAAATATCAGGTAAATGTTATTCATTGAAAAATAAGAGAGAACAAGTGGATGCAAGTTTGAATTATCTCTTTTCTCTCAGTTTCTCTTCAGCCCTCACACTGAAAAAGCACTACACTGTGTGAAAACCTTACATATTCCTCAATTTTTACGGACAAAGTACTTCTTACAAAAACTATTGAAAAGAATCTGGTAGTAAGTATTGCAACTTATACAGGCCTAACCCTTATTTATAAAGTTAAGAAAAATGGAATTTACCCGGAAATGAAACAAACTAAAACTGTATTATAAGAACTTCTAAATCATATATGGGTATAATTATCTCAATGGAACAAAAAATATGTATATATATATATATACCTGACGTACGACAATGTAATCACCAACTGAGATGCTGAGCTCGCCATCAGTCTGTGCATCAAAGGAATGAATAACCTTACAAGTAATTAAACGAAAATAAGAATCAGAAACTTTTTTATATGATAGTATAGTGATTCATGCAACTATCAAAATGCTAAAATTAAAATAACAAGACAATGTCTAACAAAAGTTACTATTCCAAGTAAAGCTCTAGGCAAAACAATTTTCAATGAGACATGAAAAATAGATAAAGAAATTGATATTAGGAATCGACGCAGCATGTATAGTAGTTCAAGCAATAGACTAGAAACTCAACAGCTATAACAACATCCTAAAGAGAGCAACACCAAACACCGGTTTATCTAAAGGAACACAATAAAAAAATACTTATGTTGTAATTTTTCCTGTGTTGAAAAATCAAATCCTTGTTTTAAGATTTTTGTTCCTCCTTCCCTTGCAATCATCTAATTTTTTGTACTTCAATCTCCCACAAAAACATAGCCAAATCCTAACATCAAATGGTCAGCCAAGACTAAGAAACATATGATATAATCTTCTTCTTTTAACCAAATTAAATCCCTTGAAATTTGGTTAAGAAAAGATCCAAACTAATACATTTTTCTACAAGTTTTTCGATAAACTTCTAGCCATTAACTACTTTCTCAAGATCAAACATCTTTTTAAGACTTGGTGGCTAGATTAAGTTCCTACAACACTTGGTCTCTAAATAAAATCTAACAAGAATATCAACAATCCATCAAATTTAATGAAATATATTAGAGTTCATTTAGAGATCCTAACTTAACATTTTTAAGTAATTTCATGGCTAGCATTACCTATATTCTCACTGCCATATGCCCAAAAATCATATCTAGAGTTTCCTATTTTTGGATTACATCTTATATGGCCAACTAACACTGCGATTATCGGGTCTCCCAATCCCCAGATATAAAATGTGTAAAGTTGCATTTGGTAGTTGACAACCAACATAAAATTTGTCAAAAAAATCATGACATAAATTCATTAAATCCTTGTGTAAATGCTAGAATGTCTTTTGGAAGTGATGCGCTGTATGACCTGAAAAATAGTGAAAAGTTTGAAATGACCGCTACACTGACACTGAGTATTGTGTCAAATAAGCAAAGGTTCTCACATTACGGACGAATAGAAGTAAAAAAATTAGTTCATAAAATTAATTTTAGGAAAAGATCTTGGAATGTAGATACTCTAACGGGTAAATTAATGAAATTAATTGATATTATGGTTCATAAAAAGATAAATATCGTATGTATTCAAGAAACTAAATGAGCTGGAGAAAAAACTAAGCAGATTGAAAGCTTAGGTTTTAAACTTTGTTATTCATGTAAAAATCGCACTAAACATGGTGTAGGTGTCATTGTAGATACGTGTTTGAAAGTTAATGTTGAAAAAATTAATAGAATGAAAGATAAAACTATTGTCCTTAAGATTATTGTTGATAATAAGATTTTTAATAGTATGAGTGTTTATGATTCTTAAGTAGATTTAGAAATATCTTCTAAAAAGAATTCTGGAATGACCTAGAAAAATTAAAACAAATGATACCTCTTGAAGAAAGAATTTTTATTGGGGGAGATTTAAATAGATATATTGGTAGAGTAACAAAAGATTTTAGAAATATTCATGGTGGCTATGATTTTGACGTGGTTAATGAAGAACCATATTAATTTTATTTTAGTGTATGATTTGGTTATCGCTAATACTTTATTTAAGAACAAATATGAACATATTATTACTTATAAGAATGCATCTAATAAAACACAAATTTATTATTTTCTTATCAAAAGAAGATATCAACAAGAATGTAATAATTATAAGGTCATTTCAAGTGAAAATTTAAGTACTCAATATCGATTATTAATTTTTTATTTAAAGATCAATCATTGTAAGATCAAAAATACTAGAATTATGGTCATAGAATTTGATGTAGACACCTAAAAGACACAAAAAAATTATGGTTAAACTTCAAGATTTCAAGATTTGAGATGTTCATGAAAAAGTAAATTCTATGTATGAGAAAGTAACAAACACTATTAAACAAGTGACAAAAGATGTATTTAGATAAAAAAAAAAAGTTATATAAATAAAAATAATTAGTGGTAGAATAGTAACATGTAAGAAGAGATAAAATAAAAGAAAGTGTAATATAAGAATTAGTTTAAATGGAGAAACTTAGAGAACTAAGAAAATTATAAGGTGGTCCGTATAGAGTCTAAGAAAACAATTTGTGATACTAAAAACTCTGCTTTTACTAATCATTATAATAAATTAGATACTAAAGAGAATGAAAATATATGTATACACCAGTCAAACAAAGAGAAAAGAAAAGTAAAGCTTTAACTTAAGTAAAGTGTATTGAAGATGAAAATAAAGTGTTTTTTTAGAAGAAGGTACTCAACATAGGTGGGTGCGCTATTTTGATAACATTTTCAAAGAAATTTCTGAAAATACGATCGACCTTAATAATCGTAATATTGTTAATAATGATAAAATGCTTTATTTTTACCTCTAAATTAGTAAAGAAGTTGAGAAGGCTTTAAAGAAACCCAATAATGGTAAATCAATGGGACCTGATGATATCCCAAGTAAAGTATGGAAATATTTAAGAAATTTGTGAGTTTCTTGGCTTACTAAACTCTTTAATATTTTTTTCAAAACTATAAAGATGCCCGAGTGGAGGAAGAGTACTTTGGTTTGCACTTTTAAGAATAAAGAGGATGTATAAGAGTATGCAAATTATAGAGGAATTAAGTTAATGTGTCAAACTTTAAAGTTATGGAAGAGGGTAAGTGAACATAAGTTAACACGTGATACAAAGATTTCGCATAATCAGTTTGGATATATGTCGAGCAAATCTACTATGGAAGTTATACATTTGTTGAGAGGTTTGATGGGGAAGTATAGAGAGAAAAAAGAGGATCTACATATAACTTTTATTGATGAAAAAACTTACGGGAAGGTTCCAAGAGAAGTTCTTTGAAGAGTTCTAGAGAAGAAAGGTGTTGATATGCTTATATTCAAGTCATTAAAAATATGTATACTAGAGTGGTTACTTGTATTCAACAAAAGGAGCATTGATAAGCATTTTCCTATTTCAGTTGTATTACATTAGGGATCAGCATTAAAGCTCGTATCTGTTTGCTTTAGCAATGGATGCTCTTACTGGATATTTACTCTTACTGGATATGGATGCTCTTACTGGATATTTACAGGAGAATGTACCTTGGTGTATGCTTTTTGCTGATGATATCCTTCTTGTGGATAAGACTAGAGAAAGAGTTCATGAAAAACTTGAATTATGGAGGTCCACATTAGAGTCTAAAGACATTCATTTGAGTAGAGCTAAAACTAAATACATGGAATGTAATATTAGTAGTGTAGTAGTAGCTCTAGTGGATGTAATATTAGTAGTAGTAGCTCTAGTGGAAGAGTTGTAACTATGGATGATCAAATCTGAAAAAGGTGTGAATGTTTTAGATATATCTGGTCTATTGTTCAAAGTGATTGTGATATAAATGGGGGTGTTATTAGTAGAATTCAAGTTGGTTAGGTAAAGTGAAGGAATGCGCCGGTACAATTGTGTGATAGAAAGTACTGCTTAAACATAAAGGAAAATTTTATAAGAACGTGGCGAGAGCTGCATTGCTCTATGGCGTAGAATGTTGGCCTTTAAAAGAGAAGCATAAGGTAAAGTTAAAGTGTTGCTGATGATGAGAATGCTTAAGTGGATGAGTGGCTTGACACTTAGAGATAAAATGCAAAATAAGTATATTTGTGATAGGGTTGGTGTAGCTCCAGTAGCGGACAAGATTAGAGAGTCATCTTAGATGGTTGATCACATTAAACGTTGGTCATCTGATAATCCAATTAGGAGAGTGGATGTTTTAGATTCGATTGATGTTAAGAAAGGCAAAGGTAGACCTAAAAAGGCACAGGCACGTTGTATAAAAAAATGATCTTAATCTATTAGAATTAAATGAAAATTTGATAATCAACAAGAAACAATGGAGAAAAAGGATTCATGTAGTCAACCCCACTTAGTGGGATAAAGACTTGTTGATGTTGTTGTTATACCTTACATGGGCAACTCATGAACTTGGGATTTCCTTTAATTCTACCTATCCAAACCATAAACGCTAACTTTCAAACATCCCTTGCGGTTTTTGAAATTTCCAATCGAAAAATATCATCACTATAAAGCAAGCTCTAGGGCATCCACCAAAAGATATAAAATGTAACAGGTAAAGCTCTCAACATTCCATTTGTGATGCATTTGATGCAACGAGTGAAACCTATTGTGCTGCTCTTTTCATGGCAGGGAAAACTCATAGATGATGTTTGCAATGTAGTGGAAATGCCCTATGCATGCTTCCTTAACACGGTGGAGAAAATATATTGCATTACAAGATTTTCATGCAAAGTAACTCATGCATGTATTTTTTAGCACGATGGAGAGAAGACACGTACATATTTTTCTTAGCGCAATGGGAGAGACTACCCAACAATCATATAAGTAACACGTACATATTATTCAAACTTGGCGGGGAAACCCATGTTGCAAACATTCATGCATATATAAACAAACTAATACATGCCTTTTTTAGTGTGATGGACAAAATAAAACCTTAGTTGGGATGACATAAGATACCGAACATGCACATATTTTTGGCAAGGTGAAAAGAGGCCTATCATTTCCATAGACACCCCATATGTAAGTGAGACATCGGAAAGCTATCAAAATTTCAAGTGAACAAACTTGCATTGGATAGAAAATTAAAATTAAAAGGGACTTTTGAACACAAACATGAAATAAAAATAAAAGATTAAATAAAGCTAAGATTGCAAAATTAAAATTTCAAGCACAAATCATGCTGCATCAAATGAGTCATAAGGATCAAAAACACACAAATTTGAAGAAAAAACTGGACAACCAAAAACATGATAGCCTTAATGGTGTCATGTTCATAAACTATCTCAACCAGATCTGATCTTATTATCAAAATGCTCTTATAATGAAACAAATTATAAAATATAAAAATTCAAGTGAAGTTTACTATCTAAGCCTTAAAATAATAACACATCCATCAACTATAGTTTATTGAGGATGACAAATTTAAGATAATCTTAGCTCACAATATAAAATAATATATCAAACATATTTTTAGGGTCACTCTTGTGATTTCTAACTTAGTGATTATATAGTCAAATATCACCACAAAATGGTACGGTAATAACTAGGGCCTTTTGATTAGGTGATTCATCCAAGAAAAAAATCGTTAAGTCAGAATCATGGCCAAAGCTCGTGAATCATCCCATGGCCCAAAATCCTTGAGTGGTGAAACATAGAGTGCACTTAATAGAGTAAAAGATCATTTCTTAAGTAATATCAACTTCATAATATCCCCTCACACACGCATTCACCCAAGTTTATAAACTCCCTTGATTAACATAACTAATGATTGTTAATAAGGATACTTAAGCCAAATTGGATCGACTATCTTTTTTAACTACACAAACCAAGATCCATGATAACCTAACATATAGAATCATAGGATCTTAATAAAGTTTATAACCCACACCATCCACTCTAAAGGACGTAATTTCTTAGCCCTAAAACTAAACTACTGCGACTAAAGCTATAGACTTAGCACCAATCAACTAGCTTTAATTGAAAATACTTCTTGCAATTAGAAAGAGTAATTAAGCATAAGAGCTTGTGACTAAGGGAAAATGGGAACCATATCATAAAAACCCTACAAATGAATGAAATTTATGGATCGTATCTTGTCTAAAATATAAGTTATCTTTTCAAAATATGATCTAGAACCATAAATCCTTAAGAAGAGCAGGGCATGAGCTTTCAAAGCAAACATCAATCTTCCCATGACTAAGGTTGCCTAGCTCAATTTTTATGTACAGAAAAATCATACTCCACAGTTTCACATATCCTTTGACAAACGAAGTTTGAGAGTCAGATGCAAGGTCTTGCTTTGTCAATGTTAACATGAAGAGCAAATAACTATCAGCCCAATTCAATTTTAACTTATTCCAGCTCCTTTGAGATGCACCTTCCAAAGCCCATGGATAAAAACACATCACTCTTCATCCTAGGGTTCAAAAACAAAGCTCTATATTGAACAGGGCATTAATACCACTTGTTACAACTATAAACAAGCTAGAGGAGAGGAGATGAAACAAAAGATTTTCACCACAGAAGTATATGAAAATCAAGTTAATATGAAAAGAGAACATGCATCATGCAGGCAATATGTAGAGAAATACAACTAAAACAGTTAAATATTAAACGCAAATCTTATTTGTTTAAACATTAAGGAAAGATAAAGAGAAGGGTTTAGGCATGTACATTAAATAGTATAAATAATAAAGCTTAAAGTTAATCTTCACATACTAATATAGAGACTGAAGTTGAATAGCAAATTTTAATTAAAAAGTGAAACTAAAATTAGCTTTAATGTTTAAAATGGTTAGCAATCTCATCAAACCACTCGAATAATATTCGAGTTGCACATTTCGACACAAGATTTAATGAATAAGAAATCATTAGCCCAAGAATTCAACAAGCTTCCAGATTTACCTTAAAGATTTATTTCATCAACCAATCAAAGAATAGATGACAGGTTAGGTAATCAACTGCATATTTTATCATTAACAAATATAAAAAAAAAACCTGCATAATTTCAGCAGACGTGGTTGTTTTTATGCCTAAATTACTAATAACAGAGTAAAGTTTTCAGATAAGGTGAAGAACCTTACTTCTGCCACAAAATTTGTGTCGCTTTGACCATTAGCAGAAATCTCCCTGGGAAAATCTACCTTGTCATTCAGATTCTCATAAGTTTTGTTTTCTGGGGATTTTGGAGAATGATGGGGCTTGATATTATCAGCTCCATTCTCGGCATCTGCAAATGAGCTACTAGATTGGTCGTTACAAACGTCAGTATTTTCATTTGGAGCTGTGGCATCAATTTTGGCAGATGAAGAATGTTGTTTAGTCGGACTAGAAAACTTTGAACTAGATCCGTCCTGATGCTTTAATTGAACCATCTAGACCAAAAAAAGAATGCAATAAGCTACCAGTATGATTATGAAAAAATATGCATGCAATCAGGACAAGTCAACTGCAGCTGTCAAGGATTTAAGGCTCAAGAATCTTTTGCACAGTTTCTATTTCAAAATGTCTATAAGATGAAAAAGTATTACCTCATTATAAAGCTTGTCCAGAACTACGGCAGCCTTTTGATGGAACAGTCTCTCAGCATCAACCTTGATGATATGTGTGGAAAGTTAGACCAACAGTAAAAAATGAAGTAATAAAGTGCTCATTCACTTCAATACCATAAAAGAAAATGCCAAGGTGCCAACAGCAAGAGATATGCTGCGGAGGAACACTATTACAACAGAAAAAGGAGGGAAAAAAATGCCAGATGGGATCATAAATTCTTAAATCTCATAATTGTTCGACAAAATATGACAGTTGTACAACTATATTGAACAGTTTAAATTCTACACCAATTACTATAAGAAGCATTTAAATATGATGTTACGGTCCATATATTTGCATGACTAGGTTAACCAGACATGTGGAATAGAGCAAAATATGAAACTTTCGTAACCTTAAAATGTTTCAAAAATAGTTTCTCTGATTCACAAATACCTACATGATCTTAAAATGCAAAATGAAAATAATATATACAACTTCATGTCACTAATTCCATAACAAAGTTGACTGAAGCCCATACGAGAGGGATGCACATGTTCTAGCATTCCCTTAAAGGGAAGTGATGCGCATGTCTAGTGCAGTAAATGAATTGGATGAACTTTGTTATCTTAATGCTTCCACGCACAGTAGCTACGAAGTAGAGAAAGCCAAATAAAAGGTCAGCCTAGGAAGATGAGAGAGGATTATGAATATAGTCCTAAAAATAAGGTATTTAAATAAAAAGGTGTGGAAATCTGAGAAGATCCCTCTCTCTCTCTCTCTCTCTCTCTCTCTCTCTCTCTCTCTCTCTCTCTCTCTTGTGGGATGGCCCGCGTCTTCCAAATCCTAGAAGGTTTGATTGGGAAAACTTAGGAAACCGTCGATTAGTTTAATTCCTTCCTATTCTATCTTATTTTATTTTTATTTTAGAATTATTTCCATTCTTAATTTAGGTTAGATATATGTTGCAAGTTTGTAAATTAAAAAAGATTGTCTTTCTTATATATATATATATATATATACGTACCTTACAAATGAATAATGAAATTAGGGAATTATTCCTCTCCAAACCTATTTTCTACAAGGTATCGTATACCTAATACAAAAACTCTCCCTCCTGTCAACTTCAACCGAAAATTTACTCTGCAAAATCCGTGCAGGCCCCTTTCTCGGCTCTTCCTAGCAGCAAGAAGTGCCCCTCTGAAACTCGTCGCTGCAAGTTCTTTTTGTTCATACATCACGTGAATGTAATAAGGCCGCTCACTGTGCTAAACACACTCTTAAGGGTTCTTTAATTTTGATGCATATAGATGATGATAAGAATTAGTCTACCATACTTATAGATGATAGGTCTATTTTGTGTACATCATAGATGATACTTGCATAGTTTGTGTATTTTATTTAGTAATGAAAATGCATATTTTCACAAAACTCGTCGTTGCAAGCACTCCTTCGGCTGGAACGCCTTCCCTCCTTCCCTCTACAGGCGCTAGTTCCTTCCACCAAACCCAGGCTTCCAAGTGCCAGCATCAGGAAGTTAACAGGCACAAGTAGCCTGAGAATTTGCTCTCCGGCGGAAATGATTTTCTTTACGAGAGCCACAGGACCAAAGCTGTATCAAGTAGAAGACAAAAGTCGTATAAAGTTGAGGCAGCGAAAGTCGTAGCAAGCAGCAGTTGATGACCAAGAATAGGATAAATACTTCAAGTTCTACTCCAGAGTTTAACTTTGAATCAGATACTAGAGATTTTGTCCAGACAACTCCTAAACTCTCCAACTTTATCAAAAATGATAAACTAAACGGCCATAACTACCTTCAATGGTCCCAATCATTATTTATGTACATTTGATGTAGAAGGAAAGAGGAATAACTCACGAGAGAAGTCACAGTTCCTGAGATCACCGACCCTAAATACCGCATGTGGAAGAATCAAGATCACACCGGTTTTGTATTGGCTAGTCAACTCAATGACCACCAAAGTGGGAGAGGAGAAAATTTTCTACTCTACAAAACTGTCAAAGAAATTTGAGAGGCCATAAGAGCACATATTCCAGCACTAAAAACATTGCAGAGTTGTATGAGATCAAAACCAAGTTTCATGCCTTGCGTCAAAAAGAGTATCACGACCCGGCCTAGGATTTGGAATTAACCAAGATAGTACAGATGGTCGGACTGTGAGAAGTTTTCTATATTCATTACCAATTAATAGATGAAAGGGCAACTAATCAAGTTTAATTAAATTTATATAAAAAAATTATACATTATTATTGGTTGTCCGTGTTTTCTATAAATATTTTTTTCTTTTATCGTCCATCTTCTTAATTAACCTAAGAATTTAGTTTGAAATAACAATGAACTAAACAAATTAGTGAAAACTCATACTCCTAAAATACAGTAATATATGGGGAAAAATATAGTATGCATGTCAGTTAAGTTTTTAATAAACTAATATAAATATTTGATGTTATTAAAAAAAATCTTACATCCATCCATAAGTAATTTCAATCTCGTAGATCATAAAAAAGTGTCATCTTAAGATATATGTATATATGTATATATATATACATATATATATATATACATATATATATATACATATATATATAATATGCTCTGATGCCGTCTCCCACGTTCGGCTCCGCTAGGGTTTCGACCCATGTCGAACCCTAGTAACCCTTATCGAAGATCATTACTCCGGCGTCGCTCTCCGTCGTCGTCGGGTCACGGCTTCGAAGTCCACTGTTGATCGCATCTCGTCGTCTCTGTTAGAAGCCGACAGATCGCATCTCGTCGTCTCTTTCGAAGCCGACAGATCGCATCTCATCGCCTCTGTTCGAAGCCGACAGGCCGCATCGCGTCTTCCTCCTTCCTCCTTCGTCTTCCACCTCACAGAAGCGGACATCTCGCGTTCGCGTCGTCGATTGCGGCGGATCTGTGCCGATCGATCTGAAGAAATGGCATCAGGACATTCCTATGCTGCCGCCCTCGCCAGTGATAACCCCGTCTCCGCCCCTCTTTCGAATACGTTTCCGCAACGACACCACAACAATTTTGCTTTTGGCATTGAAACCGGATTTCTCAAAAAAGCTTCTCGTAAAAACGAAAAACCTGCAATCTTTCTCACTAAGATAGAGGTCTCCACCCTAAGCTACGCCCTACAGACTGTTCTTAATAGGTAAATTTCTTTATGGAAATCCTAAACTTGAGCTAATTCGAAAGGACTTTGAGCAAATGAAGCTGAAAGGGGGTTGGAATATCGATAAATTGGATGGTCATCACATTCTTATTCAATTATCAAATGACGAAGATTACACCCATTTGTTTGCGAGAAGAGTTCTTCGAATAGAAAACCAGGTGATGAAGATTTTAAAATGGATGATGGATTTTGACCCTCGTACTGAACCTCCTACCATTCTTGTTTGGATGAGATTCTCAGGTTTGAAGATCCATCTTTTTGATCAAGAGTTTCTCTTTGCTTTAGCAATGGTATACGGTAAACCCCTCAAAGCTGACACGCCTACAGTAAATCTAACTCGGCTTTCAGAAGCCAAAATTTTGATAGAAAGAGATATTACTTTACCTTTTTCGGGAGAAATATGGATTGACACACAACATCAGAGATTTGGCAGCAAGCAGAACTTGACCAAATACCACTTTATTGTACTCATTGTCGTATGTTTGGACATTCTTCTTCTCAATGTTATCAGTTGCATTCGAATTTAAAACCTTCAAGTAAAAATGCTTCTGAATCTGCCCCACCTCATACCTGTCTCTCCTACGCTCCTGAGTGCATTCCACAGACTATTGAAACACCTGTTGACACGATGCCACCTCCCCCTCCCACTACCGGAGACAATACTGTCTTTGTTCTTCCGACTGATATATTGGCAGATGGTTGATAATCAGGATAGTATTGGAGCTCCACATCCCTAGGATGCATCAGGTGTTGAAGAGACAAACTTACCACTTCTTCAGAATCAGAATGTTGTTACTGTTAGTCAAGAGCTGGGGGCTCATTCTCTCATACATACCCAACAATCTATTGACCACACAGATCAGATGAGGCAGTCCTCAAATGAGAAATGACAAGAATACACATCTAAAAAGAAAAAGATGAATGGAGGCACACCCCAACTTGGAAACTTATTGGATGATACTCTAGTAACTTCGGGTAATGGAACGATACTCAGCAATTTGTTAGCTGTCTCCGCTCCTAGAACCAAAGACAGAGGCAAGACCAAGCTGGCTAGTGCCTAACAGCTTATTTCCAGCAAGTTTTTTTTTTTTGTGTTTTATTAATGTTTCATCCATTTAGGATGCTAGTGTCTGATATATCGTATGGGTAGGGTACTTTTTTTTGGGTCCTCTCATACAACATCTATGTATCTTTTCTATTTTAATAAAATTAGCCCTTGGGTGTTTATAAATAAATATATATATATATATATATACTTCATCAAACAACCCTAACACATACCTTACCTCTGCTAGGCTTGGTTCAACACAGGAAACCAAATCAAAGTATGAAAATGGCGGCGAGCGCTGCTAGGGTTTCACCCGAAACCCGGCGTTAACCTCCAGCTTCACTCCATTGTCTTCGTGCGTGGCTACTGTTTCGTCAACTTCGGATACAATCTCGCTCGCTGTTTACAAAGTCTTCTTCATTCTCGGTCGTCTTCTTTGGACAGCTACGCCAGCACCGCATCGTCGCTGCATTCTTCGCCCTTGTCACACGTCATTGTTTTGCTGCTCACATGTCGCTTGTCGTCTGCGTCGAGTGCATTCGTCCTCGGTCGCAGATTGTGTCCTACTGCTCAGCGACAATGCGCACGCAGTGAAACACCGGCCAAGGTGATGGCCTCAAGGGTTCTTTCCTACGCCACCGCCCTCACCGGTGATAACCCCGCTCCCGCTCCTCTTTCAAATATGTTTCCGCAAAGTTACCACGATACTTTTTCTCTTGGCATTGAAACCGAATTTCTCAAAAAAATATCTCATAAAAATGGCAAACCTGCAATCTTTCTCGCAGAGGCCGAGATCTTCACCCTAGCTGCGCCCTGCCGA